TGCTGGTCTTAGCAGTCATCGCCCGGGAAAATTAAACAATTCAAAATGGCCACTATCGAAATTTTCCCGGCTGATAACTACTAAGACCAGAATTACTCGCGGGCATCAAGCCTTGTGACGTCATTATGCATAAGGTCTATTGCTTCGATAAAATTAATACAGTTTGTCTTTGATGGTGCTGCAGGCGACTGGTCACATTTTCCTTCGCCGTTAATTACAGAGTTACTTGTAGTGTTAGGTCATAGTTAATAGAATAGATGGTTTGGAAACTCATTAGAATAACAATGTAACTCATTATCTATGTTCGTCAACGTTTATTCATAAATTTTGTTCTTCGCCATCGTGTGTATTGTATTTTTGCCAAATCCACCAATAGCAATTCCAATTTTTACCCTACCTACAGTACGCATGTGACGATGAAGGACCAGATTTATGAATAAACGTTGACTAACATAGATAATGAGTTTTATTGTTATTCTAATGAGTTTCCAAACCGTCCATTCTGTTGCCTATGGTTAGGTGCAGGGAAGATGGGGGTAGGGAAAGAACAGAAAATTCATACAAGAAAAACGTTCTGGAACAATACAGTAATATGGTGGTAAATATCAGCATTTTGGGCATCTGCACTCGATGTAACTAGTTGTAGAAGCGTTTTGTAGATGGAAATTATCTAATACCAGGAGCAGTTGCGAGAATTGCAACTATACCCTGCGATTCTAGTGCCGCGCTCTTACCAACTGAGCTACGGAGGCCAGTTGTCGAACTCTAACCAACTGAACTACAGAGTCCAGTTGTCAAGCTCTAACCAACTGAACTACAGAGTCCAGTTGTCAAGCTCTAACCAACTGAACTACAGAGTCCAGTTGTCGAGCTCTAACCAACTGAACTACAGAGTCCAGTTGTCAAGCTCTAACCAACTGAACTACATAGGCCAGTTGTCGAGCTCTAACCAACTGAACTACAGAGTCCAGTTGTCGAGCTCTAACCAACTGAACTACAGAGTCCAGTTGTCGAGCTCTAACCAACTGAACTACAGAGGCCAGTTATCGAGTTCAAACCAAAGCTGCAGAGGCCAGTTGTCGAGCTCTAATCAACTGAGCTACAGAGGCCAGTTGTCGAGCTCTAATCAACTGAGCTACGGAGGCCAGTTGTCGAGCTCTAACCAACTGAACTACAGAGGCCAGTTATCGAGTTCAAACCAAAGCTGCAGAGGCCAGTTGTCGAGCTCTAATCAACTGAGCTACAGAGGCCAGTTGTCGAGCTCTAATCAACTGAGCTACAGAGGCCAGTTGTCGAGCTCTAATCAACTGAGCTGCAGAGGCCAGTTGTCGAGCTGTAATCAACTGAGCTACAGAGGCTAGTTGTCGAGCTCTAATCAACTGAGCTGCAGAGGCCAGTTGTTGAGCTCTAATCAACTGAGCTACAGAAGCCAGTTGTCGAGCTGTAATCAACTGAGCTACAGAGGCCAGTTGTCGAGCTCTAATCAACTGAGCTACAGAAGCCAGTTGTCGAGCTGTAATCAACTGAGCTGCAGAGGCCAGTTGTCGAGCTATAATCAACTGAGCTGCAGAGGCCAGTTGTCGAGCTGTAATCAACTGAGCTACAGAGGCCAGTTGTCGAGCTCTAATCAACTGAGCTACAGAAGCCAGTTGTCGAGCTGTAATCAACTGAGCTGCAGAGGCCAGTTGTCGAGCTATAATCAACTGAGCTGCAGAGGCCAGTTGTCGAGCTGTAATCAACTGAGCTACAGAGGCCAGTTGTCGAGCTCTAATCAACTGAGCTACAGAGGCCAGTTGTCGAGCTCTAATCAACTGAGCTACAGAGGCCAGCTATTGAGCTCTAATCAACTGAGCTACAGAGGCCAGTTGTCGAGCTCTAATCAACTGAGCTACAGAGGCCAGTTGTCTTATCCCATTATCCCATACCTGCGTTAAAAGCGGCTTTCTGATTGGTTTAGAGCAGGTGAGCTTGTCGTCGAGCTCACCTGCTTTTTGCCGAACTCACCTGCTTTTCGCCCGAGCTCACCCGCTAAACTGCTTACGTTGCAATAACAATAACAAATATGGCGGACAAGATTTAGACGATAAACCTAAACTTTAAAGAACTTTTATCGGTGACTAACATACCGAGACTGAAGAAAAACCAAAGAAAAAATGCAGTAAAGGTAATGTAGACGTAGATAAAGAAGTATTTTCTTGCCCAGTGATTTTTTTGGCCGGGAAAATGTTCACACAACATCGACGAATATATCGCGAAGAGCTACATTTGTGTGTATGGCTCGGTGTATGGGATAAAAACCAAACGTACTTGCAGGTTCGGTGAGTCCGGGATTGGACGCACCTCGGGTGGCTGGAAGTTTCCCGAACTCACCTCGCTTCGCTCGGTAAGTTCGGGAAACTTCCAGCCACCCTCGGTGCGTCCAATCCCGGACTCACCTCCCTGCAAGTACGTTTGTTATATACCTGTGTTAAAAGCGGCTTTCTGATTGGTTTAGAGCAGGTGAGCTTGTCGTCGAGCTCACCTGCTTTTTCCCGAACTCACCTGCTTTTCGCCCGAACTCACCCGCTAAACTGCTTACGTTGCAATAACAATAACAAATATGGCGGACAAGATTTAGCCGATAAACCTAAACTTTAAAGAACTTTTTTCTGTGACTAACATACTGAGACTGAAGAAAAACCAAAGAAAAAATGCAGTAAAGGTAACCTAGACGTAGATAAAGAAGTATTTTCTTGCTCAGTGATTTTTTTGGCCGGGAAAATGTTCACAAAACATCGACGAATATATCGCGAAGAGCTACAAATGTGTGTATGGCTCGGTGTATGGGATAAAAACCAAACGTACTTGCAGGTTCGGTGAGTCCGGGATTGGACGCACCTCGGGTGGCTGGAAGTTTCCCGAACTCACCTCGCTTCGCTCGGTAAGTTCGGGAAACTTCCAGCCACCCTCGGTGCGTCCAATCCCGGACTCACCTCCCTGCAAGTACGTTTGTTATAGAGCTGTAATCAACTGAGCTACAGAGGCCAGTTGTCGAGCTCTAATCAACTGAGCTACAGAGGCCAGTTGTCGAGCTCTATAACCGCAGGTTCATGTATAAATCGCAGATTCGATAGAGGGCCTACAGTCGCTTTTTTTTCAACTGCTCCTGGTTAGATCTAATAAATGTTATAAAATTGACATTCGGCATTTCCATCAAAATCCCAAACTCACGCAGGGAATATAAAACTATACCAAACTTGGGTTTGGGCACCGCCATTCATGCATAACAACCCCCACCACCACATCCCCCTCCGCCCCCTTCACTTTTCTAATGGCCCCTCCCTTAGACATGGATTAGACATTATGTTTCAATGATCCATGGGGTTTAAGGGTATAAAAATTATATATTGAAAACCGGCTTAAAGGATTC